GTACATAATTAGGATTAGTGTGGCCCCCTTTTTTTTGGCAAGATTGAAACAGCAAAAATGCAAACTTCGACAAGTTATTTGGCAAAATAAACAGAAACATTAATATTACTAGCATGGTTGGAGATGATGGCTTCAGTGCTGCTCTGCGATTACCTGTCTTCGGCTCAGCCTGGTGGGGCCAGATGCTCATACTGCACAGACTATACATACCTGTTGTTCCCAAGGGGTCCCTGCAGGGCATCTCCCTCGCTCTTTTCTGTTAGGGGTGCAGTGGGGAGGAAGAATAAGTCTTTTTGGGAAAGAAGGGACCTGCATAACTGCTAACAGGCCAGTTTGCAGTGCCTGGAGCTGTCATGAAAGGCTTGCAGAGTGGTCTAGCCTGGATGTGCAGCAGAGCCTCCATCGTGAGCGTAGGGGGCTCTCCCCATGGCCTGTGCTGGCCTCTCTGTGATGAACCACCCTGGACCCACTCCCGTGTCAGTGAGGCAACACTGGCAGAAATACACTCTGGGCCAATAGACCCAGAGCTGTGGAGAGGACATGGGAAACAGGGTGGACTTGAATTAAACAAGAACAAACAAAGCTGAGTGCTGGCCACCGCCCCGAACAGCGACACTAAAACAGGCCAGCTAGAGTTTAGAGTCAGGAGTAAATGGGAAGGTGGTGCCCCAGCTCTCCAGAGAGCCACCACTTTAAGGTGTTTTGGAAGGGGCTACAGCTCCCTGGCATGCCAGCCACCTCTGGGCCCTTCATATGGTGGTCTGTCCTCAGCTGGCAGCAGAACCAGACTCAACTAGAGCAGGGGCTGCCTTTGCAGCCCAACGAGGATCAAGCCAGAGCTGGTAAACGTCTGTCTGACCCGGCTGGGCTCGTTCAGCCACAGAAACACATTTCTTCTTATTTATTAGAAGCACTGAAGAAAAAAAAAAAGAACCGAACACTGAGGGAACTTAACTTGTAAAGTCCACTCCAAGATAAGGAGAAAAAGAATCATGTAATAAAGAAAGGAGCCCTGAACATAGGGCAGATGCCTTCAGCTTTTACGCCAGGTCTCTTGGTAAAGAAAAGACTCACATGGAATGGAACTTACACACAGGGATTTGGAAAAGTCTGTTTTTTCTTACACAAATTTCCCACCACTGGTAAGTACAGCCCTTTTATCTTAACTAATGTGAAGTATATTTGGCTAGGTTAAGTTTATTTTTGCAAAGTAGAATAGTTTGCAAAACTACCCCTCCCCAGAGACAGGGTGGGTGCTGCATGGAGGATGTGCATACCCTGAGGCGTGCACCTGGGGGGCATGGAGAGTCCTTTTATCTTCAGCCACCCAATTCTTGACAGTAAGCTATGAGAAGTAGCAAATTAGATCATCTGGGAAAACATTCAATTTGTAAAGTAATAGATTCAAATGCCACCAGGTGGTAATAGGTAAGAAAAGGTCCACAGTAATTTAGTGAAAACAAAGTATTCATTTAAGAGGAAAGGTGCAGTACCAAAATCCATGAACAGACAAAGGAAATCAAGCTTTCAATAAAAAAAGACATGTATACATTCCTACGTTCAGAAAGTATCTGGACAGACAGCAAAAAGTGTTTAAATGCCTGGAGCCCACAGCGGAGCTCCTTCCCACCTCCAGTTACCCTTCCAAGGGACAACCCTGTGACAATAAAGCGTGCAAAATATTGCTCTGCGGCATGTTCTGAAAATAATACAAAAATAATTTCTATAGTACAGTTTAAACTTCGCTTGTAAAATCTCAACGTAACACAGCATAAAATCTACAAACCGAATACACTGAAAAACACCTTCCCTTAACAATATATTTTTAAAAATCATTTACCCAGTTAACACATGTGCAGAAAATATGAAGTAAATTTCTGAAATAACCTTCACAGGGGTTGAGAAGTATCTGGGATCCTCTGGAAACCTGCAGTCCCTTGGAGACACCTGTGCTTCCTAGAAAGGTAAGTGTAGTCAGACCTTCAGGCAGGGTCAGCCACAGCAGCAGGGCCATGCACCCCAATGGGACTCACCTTCTTCTCTTTCTCCTTGCTCCACAAAAGGCCCTCATACCCTGGAATGTGAGGGAAGCCCTTGGCCTACACACAATTAACACAGTTTTTAATAGTTCCTGGCCAGCCTAAGTTGGCCTCTGGCTAGGGACCAGGTCTAAATGGTTCTTCTCAACACAAGGAGCATTCTGTCGGTGCACAGGACTAGCACATTTAATACAACCACTGGCTCTATCCCTTATGTATTTTTAATATGCTTTAGAGGAAGGATGAATCCGGATCTCTCACAAAAGGAAATGGCTATTCTTAAGTCATGTGGACTGAGTGGTAATGTGTCAGCCTGGAGCAGGTGTCTACAGGCGTCTGGTGCCTCGTCACCACACTGAGAAGCTGGGGCGCAGGATGCAGCCAGTGGCTTTATCTCAGGCTCTTATTTAGGGCACATCTGTCACCAGATGGTGATGGGTGGAGGTAACTTGGAAATGCAAGGGTAGAACAGGTCCTGGTGTTTTGATAATTAGGTACTCTGCTTGGTTCGCCAGGTTTTCTGCTATTACAATGGACCGTTTTTATTCTGTTTTTCTTTTTTTTTTTTTTAAAAAACAAACCCGGCAGAGAGCATGAGAAAGAAAATATGTGAATTTGCATAGCCAGTTTTGGAAATTTCTGCTTGGCTGTTTTTACATTAAGAAATGAGAAAAGGCCGGGCGCGGTGGCTCACGCCTATAATCCCAGCACTTTGGGAGGCTGAGGCGGGTGGATCACGAAGTCAAGGGATCGAGCCTATGCTGGTCAACATGGTGAAACCCCGTGTCTACTAAAAATGCAAAAAAATTAGCTGGGCGTGGTGGCACATGCCTGTAGTCCCAGATACTGGGGAGGCTGAGGCAGGAGAATTGCTTGAACCCAGGAGGCGGAGGTTGCAGTGAGCGGAGATCCTGCCATTGCACTCCAGGGTAGGTAACAAGAGCGAAACTCCATCTCAAAAAAAAAAAAAAAAAAAGAAAAAAACAAGAATTGACTTTATGTCTCCTTGACGTCTTGTGCATCCGAGTGTGGTTTCTGAATGGATTACTGAAGCATTTTTAAGGTTGGGTCTCAACCTTTTAAGTGTGAGGAGCACGAGGAGTGACCAGCATCCACACCTGAAGAAACACTTCCTGTGACCCCACAGCTTTGGATGGCAAAGCAGCTGCTCAGCGTGACACAAAGAATCAGTTCAGAATGAGGCCACAGACCCTCTCCATGAGAGATTTTTAAAAACCCACTTTTGTTTGCTGAGTAATAAAAGAAACCCTGGTAATATCAGGGACATGGATGATAGTACAGTAATTACCGCACATTGAGAATATTGTTCAGCAAGAAAAGTAAAACTTTCAAAAAATTTCTTAAAGATCCTATTTAATAAATAATTTTTAAGGAACCACTTATGTAAAACTTGAACAAATTATTGAAAACTCCACCTGCTGTGGAATAATTAAAAACAAAAAGGCGTTACTCACAGGAGATAATTATTTTATTATAATTTTTCAAACAAGTAAAAAAAATCCCCTCCCCTTTTTTGTTTTTGCTGCTCTTTAGGGAAAAAAGCATCCTTTCTAGAGAAGCTGGCTCCAGTGAAGAGATGGTCAACCTCCTGCTTTTTCTGAGGATAAACTCACAGCAAAGCCAGGCGCTTGCTCCTTTCCTAGGATTATTAGAGGCTATTCTAAGGCTCTCACAGGTTTTAAAGTATTCTTTTGTTAGTGAGGATTTTACCCATCTTATCCTTATTTCTTGGAAACAAGGTCGTTCCTTAGTGAGGCAGGTTTAGCTCCTCAGTGTCCTTGGCCAAGAACGGTGTTCTCCGGAGGTAATCTTGGAAGGAAGAAGCTGCATATTGCTGCTCAAAACAGGGTAGCTAAGGACACATTTTTTTTTTTTCCCCTCAAGAAATGTAGGAGGCACCAAAAAAGAGACCGCTTAGGGATCGGGCTGCTCCCTTATTGTGTCACGAACCGGAGGCAGGTCGTCCTGCCCCGTGGAGGGGCCCCGATCACAGTGAGTCCCTTTACCTGGCTGAATCCAGACAGACCCAAGTGTGGGGGTGGGCTTCCTTCCTGTATCCCCCAGCCCCTTCCTTTTGGAAAGAGCAGCAGCCTAGCGGGGGCTTACTCAGTGACCGACCAAAGGGTCAATTCCTTGCCTGTCTCCTGGGGCACCAATGGTCACCTCAGGGGCCCTGTAGACAGTCCACTGTGGAAGTGCCTTCAAAGAAGGCGTGTGAGCAGGCTGTCCTATCTGCTCCCCTATGGGCAAATCCAAACTGTGAGATCGGAACCCTGCTTTTTGGACCCTAGGTGTCTTTGGAAAGCTCCTGCCACCTGAGCTGCCCGGCACTGGGAGCCATCGCTGTACCTCACCGCGCCCGCGAGACCAGTGATCTGGTGCCTTTCCTACGGCCGCCCGCGGCTTGGATGGCAGTGTGAATGGTACTCGAGCCGGGGCCGGGGAAGGAGGTTTATGCTTACGAAATGGAGCCGTGTGTTTCTAAAGGGCCACCGTGACCACCAGGGCGTCAGCAGGGGCCAGGTGCCCGCCCTCTCTCAGGCCCCGGACAAGAGGCAGGTGGAGCCCGCAGAGGAGCCTCCGTCGCAGGCTCGGGTGCGCGTTCGCTCTAAGCCCTGGGTAGTACCAACCGCGCACAGGGGACCGCCACCTGGAAGAGGTCATCGCTAGGTTGGGAAAAAAGGAAAAAAAAAAAAAAAAAAAAAA